TTTCAAAAAGTCGCAGGAATAGGAAGATTATAACTTTTGTGATCTCTTTAACAATATATTTATTTACTTTTAATCATTACGAAACACCATACTTTAGTTACATTAAAAATTCGTATATATACTGAACAGTGTAACCTAAAAATACTTCAAATTTGAACATAAACAATTGAAAGTATCTTTTATACTATCTTAACTTATTTGCCAACCTCAACTGTAAGTGTGTGTAGTATGATTTATAAAGTGACGAAGCCGCTAACAGATTTTGCGGCATTCCAAGAATTTCCAGCGCAGCATGTGTGGCACAAAAGAAACATTTAAGCCGAAAAAAAGGTGGGGGAGTGGAGAAGAAGGGGCATAAGGCCCCTGCACATATGTAATCTTAACAGTCTAATAAAGTCACTGAAACTCCCAACTCCCCACAAGTCAGCCGGCAAAAAGACAACAGCAGCATTGCCAATTAGTCGCGAGAATTTATATTGCTTTTTTCGGTTTCCGAAGAGAGTGGGAAAATAATTTCTGGAAATTTATATTAGAAGCTGCTATAAATTATGGGGAAAAGCAGCGAGGACCGAGACACTAGCCAGCTTAAGAAGTACACCAAAAACCGAAAAAAAACCAAAGCGAAAATCCAAATGCGAAGCAATCTGGAGACAATAAGCACAAGTTGTGCAATGGAAAATGTCCAAAGAAGGCAGTGGCGAATGAACGGAACTTCAATGGCCGAAAGAGAAGCAGTCAAGTATTTTTCTATGGGAAGAGCGGAAAATTCCTACCAAATGATACACTCACAGCTCCTCGGGGAACGAAAACAACTAATGAATGCCCCTGGCTGGAGAAAAAACAGCAGCAGCAGCAGCAAAAAGGAGAAAAATATATAAAACATTGCAAAATAGGAGAGAGCTGGGAATAAATTGCACTGCCAATAACAGGCCAAAAAGGAAAACGTATGAAATGTGAGTGGAAATTAGCTGAAAAATGTCATCGGCAGCAAAAGCCAAGAGAAATAACTAAAAATAATAATCAAGAAATTTTTGATACATCCTAGAGCGAGTAATTACTGAAGCAAAAAAAGCAAACAACAACTGAAAATGTCAGAAAGATCTTTGGTGCAGCAAAAATGTTGATTAAAATTTCTGTGCTTCAAAAATAGGAATCAGAAGGATTTAAAAAAAAAAATTAACTAGCAAAAACACAAATGATTATTAAACCACCATTTCTGACTTAAACCCATTTGCAGTTTTCTAGTTTGTAATTATAAAAAGTAAACTTTTGCATATTCAAATTGCATTGAGTAATAATATGAATACGAAACATCTATAAGATTGCTAAACCAATTGCTTTTCTAGTAAATTATAATATTTTATTATTTACTTTTTTAATTTAAAACTATGTTATATTTCTTTTATAATTTCTTTAATTTCGTGTTCAACATCCACTCTTAACCACTCTTCAACTTACTCAAACTTTTGCCAAAGAACTTGTTCTACAACTGCCTCTTTTGAGTGGTGTTTGAGTGCCCTCCCCTCATGTTATCAATGAGTCTCCATAATTGTTACCACCTTGTGGGCCTCGTTTTTCCCCGCTGCTTTCGAGCTTCAAGGTCGTTGCAACCGCAGCGACAACCTTCAGCCACATCGGCATCCGCGGGTGGTAAGCGATGAACTCTCGCTGTGCGTGTGTGGTTTCAGTTGTCATTCCTTTAACCGCTTCTGACATTTCTCCGCACAGAGGCTAAGCTCACTGTGTGGGTTCTTCTTGTCTCCTGTGAAGGTCTGGTAAGTGCAAAAAAATGCCAAGTTGGAGGAAAAGGAAGCAACAGTGGCAGGAAGAAAAACAAGCAAGCTGGCTGTATAGAAAAACACACCCACAAAAGATGGCTAAAAGCTTACAAAACAACAAGTGCAACAACAGCGGAAAAGCTGAAAAGAAGTAACAGCATTTGTGGCTGTAACACAAAAAGAAATGTGTGAAATGGCTTCAAAGAAATATGTTGTTCAATTTTGGAACATTTTTCTGTGCAATATATAAATTATAAAATATTGCTTTGAATATTCTGCTTTGATGTAGATAAATAAGTGAGGCTTCCAAAAGAGCAATGTAAATTTTATTTAATACCAAAGAACAAAAAAAACTTCTTTATAAAAATAGTTAATTAAGTACGCAAAAAGAAAGTAATCTACTCGATTTCCTTTAATGTTCACGCAACCCGGTATGTTAATTAAAAATCAATCAAAATGATCTCAGTAAAGAGCTCATTAATGAACAGACAGACCGAATATAAAATGTACTTCCAAACCGAAACAAAATAAATAAAAAATAAAAACGTTGCCAATTAAATGGAAGGTAAGTTGGGCAAATTGCATTGAGTCAGTGGCATGTTAACACGGCAGGAAAATTCAGGATTCACCGGAGCGTGGCAGAGAACACCCATTTAGCATGTCATAGGTCGAGAAAGAAAAAAAAAACAAATAAGAAGGAAGGATGCAGTACATCCGGATAAGGGAAGTGGGAATGGCAAAGGTTGAAGGCACAAGGAACACACAACCCAAAGAGTAGCCGTCGTCATCCGCAGACATGTGTTAATTGTATTGTTCTGGGGAGAGCAGGAAAATGTTGTGGGGAAAACTGTACGAAAATGCGAGGAAAATGGGGACGTGGCGCCTTGTTATTTTGATGGCTCAGCGCCAATTCACCTGTCGTCCCACCTCTCACCTCCCCTTCGGCAAAACCCCCTCGTTTGTTGTTTAACTTTTGTTTTTTTTCTGTGTTGTTTTACACGCAGCTGCTCTTTGTTGTTGGGCTTCGGTAATTATTGTTGCTCTTATTAAGCGCGTTGTTTTAGCCGATTGTTTATTTAGCTGTTAACAATATTTCGAGTGCATTTTACATTTACATTTTTAACACTCGCACTTGTCAACCCTTGGTGTTCGTTTAATTCGCATTCAAATTTTTGATTATGTTTCAAATTACCCTTTTTCATGCGCATTAATTCAGATTGAGATCGCAATGTTTTAGTAGGAATTAATAGCGAAAACATTTAAGTGTGTGCATTCAACCGCGAAATGTGTATAATGTAGAATATTAGGATAATAAGTTGTTATGAATAAGCAAATACCCATTTGTTTATGTTGCTTAAAATTAAACGATTTGTGTTTGGTGATGCAGAAACCACTTATGAATATGTACTGCTAAAAATAAAATTAATTAGTTTTGGCTGGCCTTGAGAGAAATGTGTTAATGAGAAGAATGTATTAAAAAAAATGTAGAATTATCAGAAAACGTGATAATTAAAAGCTCTCAAATGACCTATTTCCCGCTACAAAAATAAAAATTTTTTAATAGTGAATTACAGTTAATTAAATTAAGAAAATGTGTCAATAAAATAGGAATTTGCTGCTTAGAAATTCAAATTACCTAAAGAGGGAATTCAAGTAATTTAAATTCAAACCGTTTTTGTTAAACTTGGGTTTTCCCCCACTTTTTAAGATGTTTCTTACTCGATTTTAATTTGGGTCTCAATCCAGTTTTATTTTACGACATCGATGGCCCAAGGACATTAACGCGAATGCTCATCTCAGTGACAGCTAAACTCAATTTACCTGCAGTAAAGTCAAAACGCTGTCCCAATAAAAACAAACAGAGAGCACTAAAAAAACAAACTAAACTACATCAGTATACTCCGGTTATTTTCATTTACCCGACGGGACCGACGAGCATTATTTGCTTTGGGGCTCATTTAATTGGTCCTTTTTTAAGAGGTAATTACACCAGGAAAAGTGGGCGGAAAATACGGTGACCTCATGTTGAGGGTATCAAAGAGACACATGAAAATGCAATTAAGAGTGGACCAAAAACCCAGAACCTCTGTCAACAATCAACTCAAAGCAAACAGAATGCAATGACAGCCAAAAAGTGTAAATCAAATGCAACAAACTAATTGTTATTGTTCGAATTTGTTGGAAATGTTGGTACATTTTGTTGATTTTTGTTTTGGGTTTCTTGCTGGTTTCAATTAGCCAAGCCGCAATGGTGAATGGCGAATGGTCAGCCAAAAAGTGCCAAGTTGGCTAAAGGCAGCTGCTATCCTTTCCCCCTCCCCCTTTACCCCTCTCCACCCCCTCCAAACCAAACCCCCCTTGGCCTTTCGCACATTGTGTAAATATTTGACATGAGCACCAAAACACGGAGCAAACCCAAATGTCTGTTTTTGTTGTAAGCCAAAATGCAAACGGCATTAGCCATGGTCAGTGCGTTATTTCGAGCTGAATAATGCCTATGCACTGTAAGGAATATATGTTACACAGGTGTAGGTAAGAATTTATGGTAAAATGGTTGTACTATTAAAAGTGTGGGTATCAGAAATTGCAAATGATATTTTATAAACTGTCAGCCAAAGCTTACTGATAATAAGAAATGCCTATTCAAAACAATAAAAAAAAAGTTTCGGAAGAACAGTAATTGTTCTTATCAAAATACACAAAAAGTACACACAATTGGGACTTGTAAATAATCGAAATAGAACAACACAAATGAAAACAAAACCAGTAATTACAAAATTTAAAAGCTAAAGTTGTTGAAATATTTTTTTTATAGAACCATTATTAAAGTAACTCTATATATTTATATTCTTTTCTATCATATCTACATACTTCCCTCAGTGCACCTTTACATCTATATGTTTTACCGGCATTTTCGATCTCCGACATCAAATGACAATCAATCGTGAAAGCGAAACGCAAGCTGGCCCCAAAAATCCGTCGGTCATTTGTGGCCACAGACACTATTTTTCCCGCAGTTTATAAACAGAATCTGTTATCAGGGGTTCCTACGGCACAGACTCTTTATATAGCCCCCCTACACACATAATGGAGCAATGTCAGAGGAGCAACAACAACAATGGCTAATGACATCATGGAATCGGTAGTCGGTGGAATCGGTAGAGAGCTGCGTACTTATCAGTTAGCCGAGAACAAAGGGGGCAATGCCAGACCGAGACTCACCTCATTTTCAATGTTCCTGATGAGCGGGGTGTTCCTGCTCTTCTCCCGCATCGCCAGTAACTCCTTCTGGTGCTTCTGCTGCTTGAGATGGTGTTCGTGCTCGATCTTGTTCCACTGCTCGTTGGAGAAGCCCTCCTCCGACTCCGAATCGGAGTCCTCCATCGAGTACTCCTCCTCGCCGGCGTTGCTCTTCAAATTGGCATCGATTAATTGCAGTTTCGGCCTTTCAGTTCGTATTAACGGCTTTGTTGTTGTGGTCGAAGTGGTGGTCTTGGGGCTACTTGTGGTGTGGGGCTTCTGGACCAGCTCTTTTTCCTTGTCTTGTTTGAACAGCCAATCGAAGATGTTGCGCTTGCCAGCGAACTTATCATGCGGATTGGCCACTCCGGGATGTCTGTTATTATTGTGATTATTATTATTCGCAGCTACATCCAATTCATCCGACTGATCGTAGGCATTATAATCTGTATCTTTAATTCCAATGTGTGGCATTTTCTGGGCAAACAGAGAGTATCTGGGCATTTGGCGGGCCAATTCCTCATCGACAGCATTCAAATCCTCGTCATCGTCGTACTCGTAATCATCGTTGTCCTCGTCGTCGTCCTCATCACTATCCTCGTCCGAGGAGCTCAGGTCCACCTCCTGTCGCCAGTTGGGTCCTCGGGTGGATCGTGGCTCAGCCCACGAGGGGAAGATGCCCTCCCTGTCGAAGTAGCGAGTGTGGTTCGAGATCAGGCCACGTCGCGTGGTCGTGGGTGCATCGGTGGTCACCAAACTTCTGGCGGTGCTGGTGGCAATGGTCATGCGATGTTGCTGGTGTCGCAGCGAGGGAAACACCCTCTGCTCCCAGCTCAAGTGGTGGCGATTGTGGTGGCGCAAGTGGTGCTGCTGCATAGGCAGCTGTGGATCCAATCCCCCTTAGATCCACCCACCTCGGAGTCCACGAGCGAAGGTGGTTGGCGGTTGCCCCCCTCCAACTCGGCTCGCAAGTGCTGCTCGTGCCGCAAGTGATGATGGTGCTGCTGCTGCGCCTCCAATTGCTGCGCCTCCTGCAGCTGCTGCAGCCGCTGCTGCTGATGGGCACTTCGATGAGGAGCCACTGTGGTTATTATCGGGGTTCCCTTCAGATCACTGCTGTTGGCCCAACTGAGGGGCATTAGCATCAGAATTAGCCAATACATTTTGAAGATCATTCGGCTTCCCCGCGGGGAACTCATTGTTTTTTTTATTGGCGCTTTTCTAGAAATTGTTCTCCTCTTTGTTTTTATATCTTTCACTCGCGTTTATTGTGCGCTTTTCTTTGTCGTTTGTTTTGAGTTAAAGCATTTTCTTTTGTCTCACAATTCGCAATTTATACTGGCGCTTATATTTCGACACTTGTTGACAATTTAATATTTCGTTATTTTTTTCGCTTTTCAGGAATTTTAATTGCTCATCACTGAAATTAAATCGCTTATTTTTTGTAAATGGAAGTTTAATTGTTCTCGTTAAAATTTTTTATGCTTTGTTTCTGTTTTTGTGACTTTTAGACTTTATGTGGAAATTTAAATTGTTTATTATACCAATTAGGGATGTTTTTTGATAGGTTATTTTGATAAAATGTTAACTATTGTTTTTTGCGATAATATCTGGTCTTGATTTCGTTGGCTTTTAATATTTTTGTTTAAGTTTTAAAATTTTGTTTTATAGTTGCTCTTTTTGAGATTCTTAAAAACTTTAATATTTATTTTTAAAAATTGTTGGCCTTTAACATTCGTTGTTAATTATTAAAAACATTTAAATGAGTTTTATACTTTGTAAAATTTTTTATTGTGACGAGTTTTGTTTTACTCTAAAAATTACCACTTTATAACTCTTGACACTTTACATAAAAATTTTGTTTTAAATATTTATCTCTCGTTTTGATCTTTTGGCAACTTGTTCACCAACTTTGATTAATGGCTATTATATTTTTTTGGCTCAAACCAATTACCGCAAACACAAATAAATCTGCCACAGAATCCGCGCGGCTTTTGACGCGATGCCAGAGGCAAGAAAAACACACCCACCAATCCACTCACGCACTTCCGAGTATTTGAGTATATATCCCCGGAATACATCTACATATATGCGGTGTGTCGGCTTGTTTGTGCAACGATTTTTGTTTGTTTTGATTGCCAGGGCCAGATGGCGGAGTTCCTTTAAAGGTAGAAGCACTGCCCTTCTGCTCCGGAAAATGGTAAATGGTAGATGTTAAATGCTAAATGGTAACTTTGGGTCGCGAGGCTCCACGGAGGGGCGGACAAATCCACAGTTCCCGACGTTCAGATAACGACTGACTCACGGGATCTCGAATGGATTTCAGTCACGGGCAGATGCGCCCGCCGGAAAATGTTGAGAGCAGGGCAACACCGGCAACACGTTACATTGGCAACCAATGTTGCAATCCACAATCCACAAGAGAGCAACGCATCTATTCGCAACATGATGCCAGCAACATTTGCCCCACAAGAGAACCAGACTAACTACGACAAAATCTATCACCAATCTGGCTGATCAGCCGGGAAATTCGTTGGCTTAACCAGTTTAAGGAGCAGAATTTAATTTCAGTTGGACATTGTGCATGTCGCATCATAAAGTAAAATGTCAGCAATCTCCCACACAATCTTCAGTTTTCACAGGCGGAAATTGTGCACTTTGGAGAAATTTTAAAAAATAAGAAATAAATTAAGCAATAAAAATCGAATATATATATTTATCAAACAAGATTAAAAGTAAGTTAAAAATAAGATTAAATGTTCATATACCTACATTTATGGATGGTTTATTATATTATATACATATGCAAACAAAAAACACAATTTAGATTATTTTTACTTATGTTGTTTTAATTCATTTATAATTTGTTATTATTTAGGTTGTGGAATAATATCTCACATTTTTCCTCTAGTGTAGCAACCATCTTCACATGAAACCACATCAAGAGCTTCAACAGTACGCCCATGGTAAATTTTCCTCTGCCGCCTGAGAACTTCTTCTCAAGTTCTCGAAATCTGAAAATTGTTGTGCGTTGGCTGCTGATTTTCTGCTCCATGTGTGGGCAGTTGCACAGACATCCATTACATAATAATAATAATGAGATGGTGATTTATTTCCACCTTCACCGCACATCTTCTGTCTTTTTTTTTTTTTTTGTTGAAGCACAAAATGTGTGATTTCCAGGAATCCAGACTTTAATATCCTTGAACATCGGCAGTAGCAATCAAGAACAAATTTTCCAACTAATTGCCATTAAACAAAACGCGTATAAAAACGAAAAAGGTTTCCACCCGTGAGTCACCGATTTTGGAGGAAGCAAACTTCTTAGCATGATCATAAAAAAGTGGCCCGTCCTAAGACTGATCGATGATAAAAACGAACAGAAAAGAAGGGTTGAGGCCACAAATGAAGACTTAAGAGAACATTTTATGATTCTCTAACCATTTTTTCTTCGTGGAAAATTGATTTTCCTTGCTGGGCGTGCAAATAGGATTTGTCAGCCGATCAATAAAAGATTCGTGGCTTTCCCACTAAATCATAGATTCTAAGATAGCTGATTATAGCGAATTATCACTGATAGATAGTAGTAGTGAATTAGTTCTTTAATGTTCTTTAGAGTCCCTCCCTATAGTTATATTCTCTCCCTGTTTGATCTTTAAATACTTTCCCCTCCCTTTTTATTGTGGCATTTCTTGTTTGGTTTTTCTAAGCTCCAAGGCAAACAAGTTTCGTTTTCTTTCGTTTGAAGATTGTAAAGATTGTTATATCATTGTTGGGTGTATACATTGTGTGTTTTCTTGGGGTGAGTTTCGGTAGGTGATAAGCTATAAAGCTGGTCGTGCGATTCGCTCATAAAAACTATATATGTGTTGAATTTCACGCTCAATTTGAAGTTTTATTTGGTATGAACCATTTGAGATTTAGAAAAGGGAATGTAACGTGCTCAAGTAACTTAAATAATTATGTTAAGTGTTTTTGGGTTTTACAAAAAAGGAGAAACCTTATTATGTTATTTTGTGAATACATTGATACATTTTGCTAAACATTTGCGGAACATTCCTAAATTAAAGGTTTTCACAAATAATAAATATGAATGCCTTTAAAGTTTAAACCCAAAACCAAATTGCTTGAGTTAATAGTTTTGTTTTGGGATTCGCTTACCGAATTCCTGTAAACTTTAGCCACACCATTTAACTGGAATTATAAGCCCCATATCCAATTATGAGCTGGATTTTCTGCAACATTTTCAGGCAACACGTAGGAATCCACAACCCCTTCTCGGGCTTAGCCCCTAAGCCAAGTTAAGCCAACTAATTATTTTGCAACGTTCTCAACTTCTCAACAAGTTTTCAACGACGACTCCCCCCGAAAACTAAATCCACGCTGCACCAAGAGGCAATTTAATAATCATGAGGCAATTCACACTGCACTTCACTTCAACTACTCACGCCCCCAGTTTGAACCCTCCTGTCAGAACTAATAAAATCATTTGCCAGTGCTCGATAAAGCGTTAAAAAATCATCAAGTTGCTAATTAGGTTGACTAAAATGCTTCAGCGAACACTACACAGTGGGTTAAGGCATTAAAGGCCACTTGAATTCCGCCTCCCATTTAACCCATGCAAAACTTTTCCACCCAAGATGCTCTTTCTTGTTTCTTGTCTCCTCTTTAACTTTTTCTTAATTTCTGTAGCCTGCAAAAGTTTTGCAAACTGTGAAACAAATAAAAATAATCTTTTAATTTAATTTGGCCGACATCCAGAAGGTAAACAATTAAATCACTTTCAAAACAATTAAATTATATTGGCTTGAAGACAGATTTACTTATTTATGAACATGATGAAAAGTAACTCGGTTTTTAAATACTAGATTACTAAGTACTAAAAGTAAATAATAAACAATATTATAAATCAAAACAAAGTTTTTATTTTCCAATCCCATATTAATGTCAGCTTTTGTCCAAAGGGTACAAAATAAATAAAGGGAAACAAATCAACAAATTAAAACTGCTGAAACTTTTTCTTTTCACTTCTTTGATAGCGACAAAATTAGAAAAATTTAATCGCATTTGCGCAAAGGGAAAAATTCATTACCCTTTGGGGGCCAGACAGTAATTAGCATTTCCCGATCGACCTAATCAATCAAGCTGCGGGGGCGGTAAGGGGGGCGGGGCAGCAGGTTAAATGCCAATAAACTTCCAGGAAAAACAATAACAGAGCAAAAAGTACAGAAAAGTCAAGAGCGATAAACAAAGTGGAGCAAAAGCATGGGAAATGGCGGAAAAGCGGGGAAATGCTGGGAAAAATAGCTGGCAGTGAGTGGGTGTGGCAACTTTTGGCTCAAATTGTTTTCGCCGTTGTTGCTGTGATTGTAATGGATGAATTTCCTTGGCTTAGCTGCTGGGCAATCCATAAGATACAGATACAAGACCGAGAGTCGGGCCAAGAAGAACATGGAGTTATTTTCTTGGGGGCGTCGTGTTTCGGGGGCGTGTCTCCGACAATTTTCAAGTTGATATCTTCACCAAGTGGGCCAATGTGTGCAGGAATCCGGCAAGAGGAGAGTCCCGAACAAACAGACCAAATAAGCGATTGCCGGGGGAATGAAACGGCCAACAAACTAAAGGAAACAAAATTGGAGAAAAAGCTGGGAGCAAGGGATTAACAAAATACTTTGTGCTCCAGCAAACTAAAAAGGAATTTGTAAGTTAGATTGTCTACCTTAATGGCATCAATTTGAACGGAAGATGAAGTGTTTTACTTTGCTTGTTGACCGAAAAAATATCTGTTTACCATACCAAATAACCACCTTTTAATGAGTGAAGTAATTTAAAATAATTTTAATTAAAGTAAAGAAACTAAGATGTCTGATATGGTGGAATAATATTTAGTAAATATATTAGTTTTTATTAACTTGACTTATTTAAATAGCAACCTTTTACACTTGCTTTTGAATTGCAGAAAAAGAAAAAAATATTTCTAGGAACATTTTAAAAAATAGATCGCTTTAATGGAATCCCCATTGCTTTATTCTTGCAACCTTCCTGCTTGCCACTTTTAGTTGCCTATCTGTCTTCACCTGGCACACTTTGTTGCCACTTTTATGACAAATATAACCCCGAAAGAATACCAAAGCGCACAATGTTGCCTCAACTCGCAACTGCCACGCCCACTCTGCACCACCCACATGCGACAAGAAACTCGGATATATACATGTGTACGTTGGATATATATATACATATATATATATATACGTATATCTCCTTCGGGAGATAGCCTGAGACAAATGCCTTTGCCATTGAAGACGAGTTGCCATCATTGGTGGTGTCGGTGTTCCTCTCGTCCATCGTCTCTTTTGCCTCGTTAAAATCTGTGAAAAAATATGTCTGGCTTTCCGTTATACAGGGCGATATCTGTAGGGTTACAATTTCCTCTTTTTTTTAGTGGCAGGTCCTGCAGTTGCTGTTGTTGTTGTTGGCTTGTTAACAACACCGGGAGGCAGACACTTCCTTCAGCTTCCGCAGCTCCTTCTGAAGCACTAAAAAAAATAATAATTATTTTTTTTTCAATATTCACAATACATTTTTGAAAGGTTTTATAGCGTTTAGTAATTTTCAAATAAAGTTTTTTTTGTAATCGGGTATTAAAAAAATAAGCACAACGTCAGTCACTTCTTCCTGATGACACCATATTTTTTCGCAGTGCAAGTTTAACGCG